GACCCAGCAGGAGCTCCCGCGCGTTTCCTCCTAGAGCCAGGTACCCCCCGTCTCCCCAGCACCACAGCACCCGATGGCTTCCTTTTAAAAAAAATAATTATTTTATTTCACTTGTTTATTTTAATTTGATCAGAGAGGTTTAGAGGAAGACAGAGAGAAGAGAGGGAAAGTAAGAAAGCAAGCCGCCAGATCCGGGACTCGATCTGTAGTCGGCCATGTGGGAGTCTGGAGTGCCCCTAACCACCAGGACACATGCTGGCTCCCCCCATGACTTCCTGCAGACAGACAGGCCGGAAGTGGCCTGGCAGAAGGCAGAGAGAGGGAGTCCCAAACCAAACTGGAACCCCCCAGGTTGCCCATCGCCAGGCTGAAGGGACCCCAGGGTGTCTGGAGAGCCCGGCTCACTCTGAGCTGTGCCCGCTGCTGGTCCCAGCTCTCGGCCTGCATGCAAGCCAGCCCACAGGGCCTTTCCCACCACACATGAACATAGGCTTTCCCTCCTGGTAAATGCCCAAGTCTCTACACCAACAGCTGCCTGATCCTGCAGGGAGAAGGGGCTCTGGGGCAGGTCTGGGCCATTCTGACTCGGTGGCCGTGCAGACCCCCACCCCGCCACTAACGTCCTGGTGGAGAGTGCCAGTCCTGAGGCTCGGCTGGCAAAGGGGCAGACAGAGGCCTGGCCGCTGCCCGGACAAGCTACAGGAGGGACGATCTGGGGAGGCAAAGCAGGAGGGACACGGGCCACTGCAAAGGATGTCAACAGTGTCGTCACCGCTTTCCGCCTCCGAGTGGCTACTTTGCCAAGCTCTGAAGAGAGCAGGAAACGGGCAGGGGATGGGCCAGCTGCCTCTGCACACCCACGCGCCTGGCCCAGGGAGCGCGTGTGGGCAGCTCAGATGGCCAGCAGCCCAGCCACCAGCCGTCTCATGGGACACGGGCCGGCAGGAAGTCCTGATGCCTCAGGTGCTCAGGAGGCAGTGTGGAAAACAGTGGGCTGGGGAATCAGGAAAGGTGGGTTCTGGTTCTGGCTCAGGTTCTGCTGCTGCTGGCCGAGCTGAGCCAGTCGTGGGGTGCTGCTTCCTGCCCTGTAAACAATGGCAGGGCGGGCCCAGCCTGGAACCCCATGCCACACCACAGTCCACGCAGGGCCCAGTCAGGGCTGCAGTGCCGACCTTGGCAGCTTCTCACCTCTCTGCCTTCAGGGAAACCTGTCCTTCCCTTCGGGGTCACCAAAAAGTTTCTATCTTCCTTTTTAAGTTAGCAATCTAGTCAAAAAAGCTCAGCAGTACCGAAGCATTTCCAAAACTTAACAGCAGCTTCCTCAGTCCCTAGATGAAGAGACATCCCGGCTGCACCTGCTTCCCCCCACAGTCCCTTTGTCCCGTGAGTGCACCTGACCCACCAGGGAGAGGTCATCCCTGCGCACACATCCTGAGAGCGAAGACCTTCCCCTGAAACTCCCTGTGGAGGTTCCACTGGAGGCTGTGAGCCTCCCTCCGTGTCCTGCTATCCCAGCCTCTCCCCCACTCCTTCCCTGCCGGCTTCCCGAGGTCCTGCGTCCTGTGCCCAGATTCCAAGTCATCCGCTCAGGCTGCAGCTCCTCCTGAGCGCCTGTGTGAGCCAGACTGCTCCCGCGCCAGGGCCACGCTAAGAGATACAGACAGCCCCACTGTGTGAGCTGGTTTGTAGGGACTAGCACTCCCCCAGGCCTGGACAGCGGCAGACGTGCCCAGCCCTCCTTCCTCGTCCTGCAGACAGGATCTTGCCATGTCACCACCTCCGGCCTTGGCCTTCCCATGGGCACACACTCCCATGCCTAGTTTCACCCCGACCTTCGTGAAGCTGAACCCCCTTGGGTGGAGGACCCCGCTCCCTCTTGGCTTCCCTGACTCCCGAACCCGTCCCATCATCCTCACGCTCCACTAACCTTCCGTGCTGGTGTTCCGAGGGTCTCCAGGGCCCAGGCTTCTGCCTCTCCTCTTACCACCCTCCCTGCGCAACGTCATCCTCCCAGGCGCGTCCCTCCAGGCCAACTCCTCTTTGGGAGTGCTAGACCTGCAAGGGTCCTCTCGGTGTCTCCAGGGCACGGTGGGTCTTAGACACAGACTGCACTGAACCTCACCCTCCTCCCCATAGTCCTCCCTCATCTGGCAACATGCACCTCTGGATTTCCCAGAAGCCCCTCCTTCTCCACACCTTCC